CCTCGAACTTCTCCCCGTCGGACATGCCCCTCTCCCCACAAAACTCACAATTGATTCTCCCCTCTCAGACTCGGTTACGAAGGAGGCGTCACACTCGCACCGGCCTCTCCAGCACCCCCTTTAGGCCTGGGCATCCCTGCAGGCGCCGAAACCGGACACCAGCAGCGAGCCCGCGCCGGTTACCTGGCCGCGCGCTCCCGCTCTACTCGCGCTTCCCCGGATTGCACTTAGCCGTGGGCTCGCGCCAGCACTGTGAGCCCACAATTAGTTTAAACTACGGCCCCGCCCAATTCGCTCCGCCCTCTGATTGGCCCCCGTCGGCTCTTGTCGCAAGGTAGGGCACTCTTGAGATCCCAGGAAAAGGAAGTATGCCTAAGGGCCTCTGGGAAGGGGGTGGGGTGTCACTACTTCCGGATCCCGGCCTGGACTTGAGGGCAAAGGCAACTACAATTCCCAGCACCTTCCGCGGTCTTGGACCCCGCCCCCCCACGGGTGGCAGCGAGAACTACAGGTCCCGGTAGGCATAGCCCAGCGAGTACGCCGCTTGTCCCGGATTTGGGAGCAAGGTAGTTACCATAGAGTTACGCTCTGTAACCCTGAGGTAGTGGGACGCCGTGACTGGAGGGGAAACGACTGTGGGTGAGTCGGGAGGAAAACAGGCAAACTGCTCAAGGGGACAAGAGCTCTATGAAGGGGCGAGGGGCCACCACAGAGAGACTAAGAACTTTTCTACTCGGGGACCTGAGACCGCACCCCCCACCCCTACTCTTACCCCCTTTCACTTTGACCTAGACACAACACACATTTGGGATGGACGGGGCGGGAGGAAGGCGCTGCTATACATACCTACACAGATTTAGCGGTGCCGTAAGAACTTCTCCCATCACAAACGGGCCCCATCCTACGGATGCCTCAAATTCCTGACACACCCGGAGAGAACTGAAACGCCCTCAAACATGGGGTTGGTTTTCCTCTGAGGAACTGAGACCCTCTTAAAGAGAGAAGATGTAGCATTAGAGTACATTACAGTCCTTAATTCTGGAGATGTAGGTGACTTTATGGGGCTCGAAGCGTCCCCCTCCCTTCCTCTTCCAGGCAGGAAGATCCCATGGTAGAACCTTATCAGAGAGTCAGCAGGAACCTCCCACACAAATTCCTTAAGGGCTCTGCCACCAAATTACCCAGTGTCCTACACCTATGCCATGGTCAGCTTCTTGGAGTTCTACAGTTAAAGAGTTTCATTCCTTATACAGTCCCCATGACAGATCTATTACCTTAGTAACTTATCCAGGTCTTTCACATCCAGTCCCTCTTTTGATAATCATAACAGCTCTGTAAGTCGAGGATATTTATCCCCATTTCACAGATTGGAAAACTGAAGCCCGAAGAGGAACAGTGACTTGCCCAAGGCCACGCACCAAGTCAGTGATAAAGCTAGGACTAGACCTGGTTATCCGACTTGCAGCCAAGTCTTTAGCCCTAGCTTACTGTCCCTGTAGCTTAAGAACTTGTACCAAGGAATAGGTTAAATTGCCCCAGGGAGAAGGAACCTGAATGGCCTGCATTGGCCTATTTACACTTCAGCCTGAATGAGTTTCAGATCCTTCCTCGAAAGTTTAAATGGGAAAAGGGAACTAGAGAAATTGAAGACACTGGGAATCAACCCAATTTAACTAAACCAGAAATAGTCTGGCTAACACAGAACCCATGATTAGCTGGCTTTTGGTTGGCCCTGATCAGTCCACTTACTATCTTAAAGTTCCTCCAGGCTGGGTCCTAGGCCCGCTTCCTCTCTCACTCTGTATTCTCTTGGGTGTTTTCGTCCACACCCACAACTTCATTTATCACTTGTATGCAGATATATACAAGTATATATCTCCAGCCCAGTCCTCATCTATGTAAGTTCCACATCTGTATAACCAATTGCCTCCTTGACGTCTCCTTCAGAATGACTCAAAGGCAACCTAAACTCAACATGCAGAAACTGAACTCAAAATGTTTACACACCCCAACCCTCTCCTCCAAGCCTGGACCTTTTCCAGTGTTCACACATCTATATACCCATGTACACAAACCAAAAACCCAGGAGTTAGCCTTAATGCCTCTTCCATTTCTCATTCATCATAAAGTCCTCTCAGTTTTACTTCCTAAATATCTTTTCTCTTGTCCTAGCTACTGTCATCTTTTGTCTACCCACATCCTTCTAGCCTTCCCTCCCATCCATTCTTGCATACTGCAGCCAGAATAATCCTTCAAAATGCAAATCTGATATTGTTCACTCCCCCTCCCCAACCTATCCCCATCCCTGTTTTAAAATACACTTTGTGGCTTCCTATTTCATATAGCATAAAGCAACATCTCAGCCTGGCTCCTGCCTACCTCTTCAGCCTCCTGTCAAACTACATGTCCCCCTCCCCCTCTCCCCACCAGTTATATGGCCTTCCTTAAAGTCTTCAAAATTCCACGTAATCCCCCACCGTTGGGCCTTGCACACGCTGTTTCTTCTGCCTGGTATGCTCATCTTTTTCTCCTGATGGAGTTGATTTGTACTTATCCTTCAGATTTCTCTCAGTCATCACTTTTTCAGGCAAGTCTTCCCTGACTGCTCAGTCTAGGTCAGACTCCTCAATTAGAGCAATAACGTGTCCCTCTCTTTTACAGTACTTTTCACTGTTGCAATTTTTTATCTATTTGTTAAGCATCTACTACTAGCCACCACTGTAGGGCTACAGCTATGAGGAAAACATGGCTCCTGCCCTTGTAGTTTAGGGACATACAGGTAGTAAGCAAGGAGCCCTGGTGGTGCAATGGATAAGCGCTCGGCTGCTAACCAAAAGGCTGGAGGTTTGAACCCACCCAGCAGCTCCATGGGAGAAAGAACTGGCAATCTCACATAAAGATTACAGCCTAGAAAACCTTATGGGGCAGTTCTACTGTCACATAGGGTCACTATGAGTTGAAAATCAACTCGACAGCACCAAACAACAACAGGTAGTAAGCAGATAATTAGTGTTATGAGTGCTACCATGGCAATAAGTATAGGGTGCTGTGGGAGCCCAGAAGAGATGTTCCACATCCAGATTTGGAGATAAGGGTAGGCTCCTCAGAAAAGGTGACACCTGAGCTGAGTCCTTAAGAATTATCAAGGCAAAGGAAGGAGGAAGAAACTGTATTCCAAGCAGAGGCCCAGACGCAGATTCATAAAACTTACTAAGAGTAGTTGCATTTGGCTGGACTGCAGAGAGGTGAGCAGGAGCCAGGTTGAATCTTGGGCCACCCTTTGGCACCTGGGATATATAACCTCCTCAAATACATTAGATTATGTGGCAAAGTTTTCGTGGCTTCTTTGATTTTCTACCTGTAGCCCATAAACAGAAATCCTCTCTAGACCAGGTTGTTTAATCTCCTGTGAGATCTCCTCAGGCTGTGGGTTATTCTTCAAAGTGTCCTGCACCATCATGTTGCTACTTGTCTAAGAGAGGGCAGGAATAGGCCATCAATAAATCAAATTCAGATTGTTTGTAATTTCTAAAAACTTGAGATTGGTTAAATAGTTAAATAAAATATGACACATACATACTATGGAATACTTTGCAGCTAAAAGGGTAAGAATGTATAAATAATATGAAGAGAAAAAAAAGGCTTGCAAAGAAATGAACAGTATATGTGTTTATGTAAAAATACTCATAATCTTCTTTATGTATGCATTCTAGGAGGTTATATTCTCAAACTGTTAATAGTGATTGTTGTTAGAGAGTAAATAGAGATCCAGACTTTCAGTTTCTACTTGATGTACTTCTCTGATGTTCACATTTATTCAGCTGTCATGTTTACCCTTAAAATAAAAAAAAAGATATTTCCAATTTGGAATATAAAATTCCAGTTCCAAAACAAGGCAGGTTTGGATAACCCTGTCATCCATCAAATCAGTCTGGACAGATGAGGATGGTGCTGGGATCTGACTAGCATCCTGGTCATGAGGCAGAATAGCATGTGGAAAGAACTGACTCCAAAAACACAGCCATGGGAATGAGCAAGGCAGCATCTAGACTTTGTCAGTTCTCCCTGAAGTTGGGCCCACTGTGTGTCATCTTGAAGACACCATTCATTTACTCCATTTTTTCCCATGTCCATCAAGCACTTATTGAATACCCATTCTTTTTCAGGGTCACTGCAGGGTAATTGTGGAAACAGAGAAAGAGGTCTGACTTTCTATCCTCATGTTTCCAATTCCTTGTTTTGGAATTGGAATTTTTCTTTTCCAAATTTGAAGTATCTTTAACTTTTTTTTTTTTAATTGTAAGGGTAAACATGACAGCTGAATAAAGGTGAACAAAGGTGAGGTCTCTATCCTCATGTTTATAGGGAGGGACTGGGAAGTAGGTTATAAAGAAATGAGTACAGAGACCATGGTCCCAGGGAACATCTAGCTTAATTGGCATAACATAGTCTGTAAAGAAAATGTTCTATATTCTACTTCGGTGAGTAGCGTCTGGGGTCTTAAAAGCTTGTGAGCGGCCATCTAAGACACTCCACTGGAGCAAGGGAGGATGAAGAGAACCAAAGATACAAGGGAAGGATTAGTCCAAAGGACTAATGGACCGTAACCACCACAGCCTTCACCAGACTGAGTCCAGCACAACTAGATGGTGCCCAGCTACCACCAACCGACTGCTCTGACAGGGATCACAATGGAGGGCCCCGGACAGAGCTGGAGAAAAAGATAGAACAAAATTCTAACTCACAAAAAGACTACACTTACTGGTCTGGCAGAGACTGGAGAAACCCCGAGAGTATGGCCCCCAAACATCCTTATAGCTCAGTAATGAAGTCACTCCTGAGGTTCACCCTTCAGCCAAAGATTAGACAGACCCCTAAAACAAAGGAGACTAATGGGCACACCAGCCCAGGGGCAAGGATGAGAAGGCCGGAGGGGACGGGAAAGCTGGTAGTAGGGAACCCAAGGTCAGGAAGGGGAGAGTGTTGACATGTTGTGGGGTTGGTAACCAGTGTCACAAAACAGTATGTGTATTGTTTAATGAAACACTAGTTTGTTCTGTAAACCTTCATCTAAAGTACAATTTAAAAAAATAAGTACAGAGAGTACAGCCGCTTCCACTTACTGAGCACTTGCTGTAGGACATACAGCAGCTGTCAAGGTAGGGTGTGTCTCCATTTTATAGATGAGGAAATGGGCTGTGATAAATTGTTTGAAGTCCAGTGGAGGTATGTATCAGTTAGCTATTGCTGTATAACAAACCATCCTAAAACATAGTGGCTTAAAACAATAAACAATTATTATTGCTTCCAAGTCTCGGAGTCAACATGGTGTTTCTTCTGGTCTTAGCTGGGCTTACTCATGTGTCTGCAGTCACCTGTAGGCTGTGTGACTCTCCTGATCTTTACTGGGGTAGGCTGGCTATTGGTTTGTCTAGGATGGCCTCAGCTGGGATCACTGGCTCTCTTGTACATGTCTCTCAATGCACATGTCTCTCATTTCCTTCCAGCAGGCCAGCCATGTTCTCATGGCACTGGCAAGGAGCAAGAGGGCAAGCCCCCTTTTTAATCTTCTGTTTGCTTCCTGTTTGCCAGCATCCCATTGGCCAAAGCAAGTCACATGGCTAGGCCTTGCATCAAAGTCGGATGGAACTACAAAGTTAGAGGGCAAGGTGCTGGATACAGCAAGAGACCATGGGTAGGGATCATGAATGTCATCAGTCTAACACAGGACACAATGATCATTTTTAACTGGAAAAGAAAGGCTTCACAGAAGAGGGTACACTATAGCTGAGTACTGAAACATGAGAGTATTCACTAAGCGGACAGCTGTTGTTTAGAACTGGACGCAGGCCGTTTTGCCACAATCAGTAGAAACCCAGCAGGTCTTTCTGTCCTTAGGACAGACAGGGTTTTATTATTTGTATCTTGGCTTCATTCCTTTTGGTCAAGCACAGGGCAGCAGGCATACAACAAATGTTTGTAGAATTGAATTGAATATCTTAGTGTGAATGAGGTGTGGACTGAAACAGCTGAACCTTGGAGCCAATTGTTAGAAAGAACAGCTTAGCATCAACTCTCCCAAAACAGAAATTCTTGTATTTGGCAGTTTCTCATTCACTCATCCCACAAACATTTTCTGAGTGCCTGTTGTAAGCCAGGTTCTGTGCTGAACAATCAAGAGGACACGACACACACCGACAGCCTGGGCTACTGTTTAAATGGACAAGACTAATAACACTTTCCAACTGGCAAATTTATCCAGCTACTTGGGGCTCCATTTTTAATGCTAACTAATCCAGAAAAATGTATCAGGAGCTGGTGCTACACAAAATCAGAAGTTCTTAGGAACTGCACTGACGTTCTCTGATGATCAAGGAAGCTAAGTGGTAAAAATCTACCCTCAGATACTTTAAGCTAAAATCCATGTCCAGTGGTACAGAATCTGGGGTCCTAATCCAGGATTTACCTAAGACCTAGGGCAGAAAGTTCTCAGGTAGAAAAGTATACAGTCCTGCTCAAAGGCATCAAGCCTCTTGCAGGTGTTGAAGTGGGATGGGCTTCTGTTTGGGTAAGAACAGAAGCCAGGGTCTTTTGTACAAAAGAATGTGTTTGTTGACTGCCTGTCAATTTGACATCTGAAGATTCAGGTCTCCCTAGTCCACAGCCCATGCCCACCAGGCCAGTCCAGCACTTTGCAGAGAATTCATCTGCGAAATGACTCAAACTGGCACTTCCCCAAAGCTCAGTTGAGACTGTTTTTTGAAAAGATGGCCATTTTCTATCCCTCTAAACTTGTTAAAACTCTATCCTTGCATAAGTTAAGTCACCAAAAATTGATGGAGTTAATTGTACTAATTAAGCTAAAACTGAATTACAAGTTACTAGATCCGTGGTTTTTAACAGAAATTCCATTTTAAGAACATTTGCTGATTTGTCTTTGCATACAGACTATCTGCTGCTTTGAATCAAATGATGAGAACAGCATATTCCAAGGTTTCTGTTTTTTTGCTTTGGCTGCCAGGAATTTCAAAGCTAAATATAGGCTGAGTTTCCTAAATTCCCTGGTATCTCTCTCTCCTCCTTTAATCTGGCTTCTAATCTTTTCCATTTTAAATTTTCTACATCCGCACTGTCCAGAACATGTGGCTATTGAGCATTTGACCTACAGCTAGTCCAAATTGAGATATGCTGTAAATAATAATTCTTAATATTGATTATGTTGAAGTGATATTTTGGGTTAAATAATATAGTAAAACTTTGTGTCACACACAAAACCCCTTAGTAAAGTTTGCTTTCAGCTCTCTTTTCCTCAGGTGAGTAGTGTTCTCCTGGCTCTTCCTAGTCTCCTGCCAGATCTGTTCTAGGCTTTACTTAAGCTAACACTGGAAAGCATCTGATGAGACAATTCACACCACATTGTAAATGACTGGTAACATTGTGTTCACCCCTCTTCTTAGGGGGTATTTCAACAGGGAACAATCCCTGAACCCGAAGGAATGAATCCCTAATGGTGGAATTTCAGGCCTCAGTGACAGGTGAGTGAGAGGTAGATTGGTTTTATGTGTTTATGTATGTTTGACTACGTTCAGGATGCGGCTGAAAGTAGGGTCTTTGGATGAAAGGTAATGAGGTAGACAGAGCTGGGTCAGACTGCAAAGGGCTGTCATCCAGTGTAGGCCCTTAGGGGTTTGTTAAGCAATAGAGAGCCCAACTGATGTCACCAGAGGTTAGGTAACAAGACAGTCTTCCTGGTAACTACAGTGAAGTAAAAGAAAGGGCCTCAGTGTAGGAATCAGACCATGTTTGCAGTCCACAACTGACTCACTGGCTTAACTTTGGGCAAGTTCCTTCACCCCTTGGGTTTCAGTTTCTTCATCTGGAAAATGGAAATAGGTGTTCTATCAAATGAGGTTTAAGAGATGTGATAGTGCTGTGGGAAACAGGCCATTCTCTACAAATGCAAGGAACCGGGATTAGTATCTTAAAATGGAAATGTAGTTGAGCAGGCCTGGAGTAGTGGAGATTAGAAAGCAGGGGCCAAGGGCTATGGGGAGGACTAAGGGAATTACGTCCCTTATACCTGGAACACCAGTCCTTCTTTATCTTTGCAGGCTACACTCGGACTCCCAGGGCCCATGCTTCCACATGACATGATGGCATGAGATATGAACAGACGGGACTATATGAAGACTTCAGTGCAGGAGCCTCCCCTTGACTACTCCTTCAAAAGCATCCACGTCATCCAAGGTCAGCCCACAGGGCACAGCACTTCACTTGCCACAGAAGCAGGCCTGGGGTGGTCCCTAGGGATAAACCAGTCTTCTATTTGAAAGTCCAAAGAGATTCTTCCCAAATACTTGCAGATTTTTTTTCTTAAATGTCTTTTTTTTAAGGGGGGGGGGGCAGTAAGGACGTAGGAATGCAAGGGTTTTAGCCTTTTTTAAAAAAATTTGAACTGAGCCAGGGGCCTCTCAGGGTAGTTGATGGATAATGTTCAAAAGAAGCCAGCCAGGCTGTAGCAAGAAAGTCAGGTGGAAGAAAATCAGGAAGGCAAGCTAATAGTTTTATTCTTCTGTTTCTACCTTGAGAGAGGAGGAAACGAGTGAATGGAAAATACCCGCTGCTGCAGAGACCCAGCCAGCAGGCAGAACCCTGTCTCCTCTGGGGACACACGAGCCTGTTCTGATCACTGGTTGTAAAACACAAGGAGTCTTATCATCAAACTGTTTCCAGTTTAAATATTTATTGACGAATTTCTTATATTCATTCCAACCATATGTAAATTTATTCCCTCATCACCCACACTTATTGCAGGTTCCAACACTACTCACACTCATTCCCATTTTACCCTTCAATAGCTTTGTAAATGGGCAGCTAGTATGCTTCAGGAGGAGTTACAGGGAGGCTCTCAGCAATATCATGCTCTCCAGAAGTCACCATTTCTTCCTAGGAAGTTCTGCTTTCCCTGGCTTATGTTATCTGATCTCTCATAAAAGCATCACTACCTCTGTCTTCACAGGAACACGTGCATCCACATATCCTAGGCCCGTTACCAGCTTTCGTCTTCTCTCACAGGCAATTTGTGGCCACCTTTAAGCTCAAGAAGCTAGCAAATAGTTACCCAGGAGGTACTAGCCTTCACTTAAGTTTAGGGCACTACTTGCGTTGGCATCTGCCACAATTGTAACTCATATTCTTTCATCAGTGCACACCTACCTGCTATGATCTTTATAATGCACAGCACTGTTTCTGATGTAGTCCATGTTTCATAAGGATTTTGGCTACAATAATAGCCATGTACAAGATAGCTGAGGGGACAGAGGAAGGGAAGAAAGTATAGCTTCTACCTACCCTGGGAATTCCCAGCTCTGAAAGGGGAGATGTAGCTCTGTCCTCTATGGAGTCCTCAGAATCAGGAGAGAGACAAGGTCCTAGTATACAGCACAAAACAATCTGTACAGATGCTCTGTCCTTCATTCACTAGTTGAGCACCTACTACTTAAAATGTATCACATATGTAATATGTATTACATCTGTAACAACATATGTATTAATAAGTAGTAGCTGGCTTAGTGGTTAAGAGCTACAGCTGCTAACCAGAAGATCAGCAGTTCGAATCCACCAGCCACTCCTTGGAAACCCTATGGGGCAGTTCTACTCCGTCCTATAGAGTCGCTATGAGTTGGAATCAACTCGACAGCAACAGGGTTGGTTTTTTGGTTTAGCTACACACTAATATGTGTGTGTGTGTGTGTGTGTGTGCACGCGCGTGCGCGTGTGTGTATGCAGCTTGCTGAATGAATGAATATGAATCAACAAACTCAGACAAGCCTGTTGGGTACAAAGGGTGATGGGAGAGGTGCATCCAGGCCCCAAAAGGCTAGAGTGCCCTCAAGTTCCCCCAGAGCTTCTGGAGCACTTATTTCAAGCTGAGGTTAGAAGACAGGAAATTTGGGAGTATCTGGCACACCCTTAACTATTTGCTCAATTAATAGATAGATTATAGAATCTGAAATGGCAGTGACTTCAGACAGCATCTAATCCACACTACCCCCAACCCACAGTCCTCCAACTTCTGTTCACAAATGTATAGTGTTAAGGGAGTTCCCCACCATACTCACATACCAACCCCATTATTGGGGTTAGGGGTAATCCAAGGAAGTTCTTCAAATCAAACTGACTCCTGCCCTCTGGAGACATATGAAACAAGTTGCATGGCAGCCCTTCAAAGATACCAAGACAGGATCGCTTTTTCCCCACGTCTTCCTGGGGCTGAATGCCCTCCAGTTCTTGAAGCTTTGATACTCATGGTCCAGTTTCCAGACTTATCAGTGCCCTTGGCTTACTCTAGATCCTCAAGTATTGCAGTGCCTGCTGGAGTCTGAGGGGAGTAGTTAGGGGCAGATTAATCAGTAAGCAAGGCACACAAGGACTTGTGTTTCCTTCCTAATCTCTAGTGCACAATTTCACCTGATGTGGTGAAACCGAGGTGAAATTGCGCACTACAAATTATTAAGCAAACCTCTGTGTACCCTGTTTATTGGGTAATCCGTCTCTGGGAGCAGTAACCTGTAGCAACCTGGACACCTCACCCCACCCCTGATAACAGCAGCTCCAGGAAGCCTCAAGTTTTAGGCATCTCCATCCCACCAGTGGCACCCCCTGAGCATTGGTAGCATTCTCCAAGCTACTGCCTCATCAGACTGGTTGCTTGTCCATATGTGGGCTTATTCTGACCTTAACTTTTATTCATTAGTCATTTCATTTTGGGGTTCTCGTAAGGTGTGGGGGATAGCAAGCAGGATTAGGAATTTATTCGTGAACTGGGGTACTCTGCTCCAGAGGAGACAAATAACCCTCTTCTGCCACCTTCCCTGGAAACCCTGGTGGCTTAATAGTTAAGTCTGGCTACTAACCAAAAGGTCAGCAGTTCAAATCCACCAGGCGCTCTTGGGAAACTCTATGTAACAGTTCTAGCCTGTCCTATAGAGTTGCTATGGGTTGGAATCAACTTAAAGGTAATGCGTTTGGTTTGGTTTTGGTGCCACCTCTCCCAACCCAGGCCCCAACTGTGGTCTGTTCACTCCAGGTCTGAGGCAGAGAGCCCTCTGGTGGATGCTACCTGACCTGCAGTTGAAGAGAGGACGTTCATGTTGGATTGGGGGGGTGGAAGGAAGACAAGTGTGCCTAGTGAGAGCTGGGGGGAGGGTAAAGACAGGCTGGCCAGGTTTAGCAACTACCAAGTACTTCCTTCCCCAGAAACAGTTTAGGCTAGAAATCAACAGCTTAGAAGCAGTGGGAAAAAGTCACTTCAGGCAGAAGATGGCTGTTTCTAACTGCCACTGACAAGAGTTTGGGCAAGGTCCATCCTCTCTTGACCTTATTTGTTTTTAAAAAAAAAAACAAAAAACAAAAAAAAAATGGAGAGGTTGTCCATAAAGATGGGTTCTAACATTCACCCTCCAACCACTTCCTTATTCCCTCTCCTCAGTCAAACTTTTTGTGGGTGTTTATGCTACTTGCTATTTCCTTACTTTTCATCACTGTCGAACTCCCTTAAATCTGGCTTTTACCCCCATGCCTTGGCCATTCCATTGAAACAGCCCTCACCAAAATCACCAGGGACTTCTTAGCTACCAAAATAATTGTCTTTATCTTTCTGAAACTTACTCTTCCTATAAACTATCAACTTCCTGAACATCTTTGAAACTGTACTCTCTTGGCCCTATCCCTCCCTCACTATTCTTTAACTTCTTTCATGGACTTTTCCTCCTTGACCCTCCTCTCTCCCCCTGGGGAATCCCATCTACTCCCCTAACCCTGACTTTTGTACACCCTCTATGCTAATGATTCTCAAATAGTCTTCTGAGCTTCAGACCTACATATCCAGCTACCTACTTGGCTTCTCCATCTGGATGTACTACCAAAACTAAACCAAACCTCTTGCCATTGAGTGGATTCTGACTCATAGTGACCCTACAGGACAGAGCAGAACTGCCCCATAGGGTTTCCAAGGCTGTAATCTTTACAGAAGCAGACTGCCACATCTTTCTCCTGTGGAGTAGCTGGTGGGCTTGAACCGCAAACCTTTTGGTTAGCAGCTGAGCACTTTAACCATTGCACCACCAGAGCTCCTTGGATGTACTATCAAAAAAAATGCCAAAACCACTGCCTTCGAGTAGATTCCCACTTACAGCGACCCTATAGGACAGAGTAGAACTGCCCCATAAGTTTCCAAGGCTATAAATCTTTACAGGAGCAGACTGCCATATCTTTCTCCCGTGAAGTGGCTAGTAGGTTCCAACTGCCAACCTTTCCGTTAGCAGCCAAACACTTTAACCACAGCACGCCTCAAACACCCAAGGCCAAGACTGAACCTTGGCCAACCCTTCCCAACCCTGTTCCTCCTTTTATAACTCATCAGTTAATGCCCAGTCACCCAAACCAGAAACCTGGCACCACCCTTGAATACTTCTCTACCCTTAAGTCCAGTCAACCATCAAGTCATGCTGATTTTATCTCCTAAATAGTTCTTCATCCCTATACCCGTATTGTTTCAGGTCTCTCTCACCTTTCTTGGATGCCTGAAATAGCCAAATTGGTCTTCCAAACTTATCCTCTCTAAAATCCGTATTTCACAGTAAAGCTTCAAAGTGATCTTTCTGAAATGAAAAATCTTAATCATCTCATTTGCTTTAAACCCTCTGGCTTCCAATCACCTACAGGATAAAATCCAAGATCCTAGCGTGGCATTCAAGGCCTTCATGACTGGGCTTCTTTTCCCTCCTTGATTGCCTTGTGCAGCATGCACACACACACACTGTGATGTTTCACACTACTATGCCTTTGCTCATGTTCTCACCCTAATCCTCTGAGATCCCTGGGAAACTTTCCTGAGCTCCTAGACCAGGCTAGAAGCCCCTCTTCTGTGCTTCCATGACTGTTATAAAGCACTTATCACACTATTTTGCCAGCTTCTTCCATCTTGCCCACGTGAGCTTCTCTAGGGCAGAAACTCATACAGAACCTGGCACAAATGGTCTCATTTTGTTCACCAAGTGTATCCAGTATCTGGCACATAGTAGGTGCTCAACACTAATGGAAGAGAAGAGAGACATCAGAGTGTTTTCAATGGAAATGAATTTTATAGGCTCTACCAGTGGATAACTGGATTCTGTGCTATTATCTCGGTTAAGCCCAACAACTCTAGTTCTTAGTTTCCTCAGCTATAAAACGGGAATGGCTGTGTTCTCCACACCAACATGGGGTGGTATGCAAAGGCCCCAATCAGAGAGTAGACATGAGATGACCTGGAAAGCCAGGAGTTTGGGTGAAATCTTTGAGTACTTAATCCAAGCTTACTCTGCTGGGCCCTGGGAAACCGAGTTCTTAGCTAACAGCAGATAGGGTCACACTAAGCTCCAGTACAAGGCTACCGCCCTGTGAGCCCCTCTAGCTACAGCTTGGGCTATTAATCCTCCCAGCTCTGCCCCTTCCCACCCCTCAAAGCCAAGAAAGCAAAGATGATATACCTCAGCCTTACTTTATTCCCACAGACCTGGTAAGTGAGGAGCCAAGGACAGGGCTCCGACCACTGAGGCACTCTAAGTCGGGGAAGTCATTGACTCAGTCGCTGTGGCTGAACAACAATGTCCTCAATGAGCTGAGAGACTTCAGCCAGGTGGTCTCACAGCTGCTGGAGCACCCAGAGAACCTGGCCTGGATTGACCTGTCCTTCAATGACCTGACTTCCATTGACCCTGTGAGTTCTCAGCCCATTAAGTCCAGTCATGGTGGCCTGACCTCACCTTGTTCAGCCCCCAGCTTCTCCACTTCCTATGTTATCAAGGAAATAGCAAGGCATCATGATACCATGCAAAGCCCATTGATGTGGGGTCAGACAGATGTAAGTACAAATCCTGGGTCTACCTCTTATGGGGTGTGTGACTTTGGGTAAGTTACTTAGCCTCCCAAAACTTTACAGTATACCACCTTCATAAAGGTTTTGAGAATTAAATGAAAAGTATAAAAACTTCAACTGACCCACAAGAGGCTGAAATAAAATGGTAGCTCTCATTGCTAATCACCCACTGTGTCTTATGCCAAATTCTGCTGTGGAAGAGGCAGGTGGTAAATGTGCAGTACGTTTTATGAACTCAGACTCAAGTTTTAGGAAATAAACAAAAGCGGCTCCCTGGTAAGGTTGAAAGGAGCTGGATCATGACTTGGGAATCATTCCCGATTTAGTTGATCTCAGTTGAAAGCTTCTCCTACGTGCCTAGCATGATACTCTGTGTTCCTACCCCGTTGTGGCAGTATCTTAACTCATAAAAGCTGGAAAGGTCCTCAGTGAAGAGGCCAAGAGGCAACTGAAGCCCACGGAGAGGCAGGGACTGGCCCAGTCACCTCCCAAGTCTGTGCCAAGCCCATATCTCCTGCCTCTCAAATCACAGCCTTGTTTCAGTGTAATGTCCCTGTACCCCTTAGGTACAGGAACGAAGGAAAGGAAATCAAAGTAGGTTAAGACTCATCCAATATGGCTACGGGGCTTCACTGCCAAACGCTTCCTTCTCTGGCCACAGGATAGTCCTGAGCTTTGATCCAGGGCCCTTTCCACCCTAGCTTTTTGGTTCCCCAACAGGTCCTGACAACTTTCTTCAACCTGAGTGTCCTCTATCTCCATGGCAACAGCATCCAACGCCTTGGAGAGGTAGATAAACTGGCTGTCCTACCTCGGCTCCGAAGCCTGACACTCCACGGGAATCCCATGGAGGAAGAGAAGGGATATAGGTACGTGCCCTTCTCCTGGAGCTGGGATCCCTGAGGAAAAGGGGAGGGAAGACAAGAAATTCAAGACCATTCTGCCACCCTGGGACCAGGGAAGGGAGTAGCAGACCTTTAAGCATTTCTTGCTGTCAACTATAAGCCCGGTCTCCCCCAAACTACACTCAAACCCATCCACTGCTTGCAGTCAGGAGAAATAGCAGCAACTGGTAAGAGGGGGAAGGGAGTTCTGGTAGGGGGGCTGGCCCCCAGCCCAAGTCTTTCCCACAGGCAATATGTGCTGTGCACCCTTCCCCGTATCACCACATTCGACTTCAGTGGGGTGACCAAAGCAGACCGCACCACCGCTGAAGTCTGGAAACACATGAACATCAAGCCCAAGAAGGTCCGGATCAAGCAGAATGTACTTTGAGTTCCCAGGACCCTAGCAGTCCTAAAGGCCTGAAGATGGTCAGCTTGGTCTGATAATAAATGATTTGAGCTGTTCAGCAGATTCGAAGTTACTCGTATCTTGTAGAGATGCCCTCCTACTAAAGCAACTTCCAGAAGCTCTGATCTTACTTCACTGAAACAGAGAGGCAGACCTGGGTTTGTTGCATGGCCTTGGAAAAGTTAGTTAGTCTCTCTGGATCTCTTTTTACTCTTCAGCTCAGATATGCTGGGGTTAGAGCTAATCAGTATTTCCAAACTCTTCACAAAGTAGAAAGGTTCTGCAGAAATGCCTGAGGCCTCTGTGATGGCAGGCCAAGAAGACGGACTGTGATCTCTAAATCCTCCTCAATCAGATCAAAGTAGGTCTAATGTTGTATTTTATATTTTAGGATTCTGCTTAAGACTCCATATGATAAGAAGATTCTTCGGCTTAAAACATGTTTGCTGACTCCAGCTCAGGTGCTCCCAAGTCAACTGGTCTGGCCCCCATGCCTGCTCACTGCTCCCCAGCTGTTAGGAATTCCACTGAGCCTGAGGCAGGGCCCCCAACAGTGACAGCTTCCCCAGACTCAAGTCTGTCCAGCTTTGACACAGTCCCCATCACTGGAGAAAGGACAAGCATAATCTTTTTATTGCCTAAATTGAGGTTAGCCCAGGCCAAGTGTCACCTGGGAACACTGAGCCCTTATCTCCTGGATTCATCCTTAATGGCCCTAGAGGATGCTCCCCCCTCCCCCGCTTCAGAGGCTGGAGTAGCCAGAATTAAGTAGTAGGGTGATGGGCAGGACAGAGGGGCTGGAACCAGCACACAGATGAATACACTTCCTTTATCGAGGGTGACAAACCAAAACAGAAAGACCAAACATGTAAAAACCCAGGATGCTGGAAATACAAACTCAATTCGTTCAAATTTAAGCTTGTCCAGACCCTGGTCACAAACCTTGTGAGGTGCATATGGGCACCAAGGCAGGAAGAGAGGGACAGGAGTGACTCTGAGGCCCAGAGAAGGGGTGGGAAGGGGCCCCCAAAGCCCCCTGGTGGTCACCCCCACAGTGGTACCTCTACCTTCCCAGGCTCCATCCTTTCGGCCCCCACCCCACCCCTGGCCAGGGCTTCAAAGGCCAATTTCAAACAGTTCTACCCTCCCTTGCTCCATCCTCACTTGTTCAGGCCGCTAGCCTCACTCTTCTCCTCCATTCTTCTCCATGATTAGTAGCAGGTTAGAGTACTGTATGCGCCGCAGTGAGGCTGGGGGCCAGGGGAGGTGGGGTGGAGACAAGGTGAAGAGAGAAGAAAAAGAGCTGTCCAAGGACCCCTCTCTTCATGGGTTCATGGGATCCCAAACTGTACAACCAGCTCCTCTTTTGCATCCACACGGATCTGAGAAAGTGCACTGTAGGCATAAGCAGCTATCCTGGAGACCTGAGACAGACAGACAGGGCCGGGGAAGGGATGAACAGAGAGACAGATAAGAGGGAGATCAGGAGCAAAAGAGAAAGGAAGGGATGGGAAAAACAGACAGGAAAAGAACAAAGGAGAGAAAAAGAATAAAGGTGTGTGTCGGGGACAGGAACAGGGGAATATGAAAAGAGAGTGAGTTGGGAGTGAGGAGGGGCCAACAATGTACCCGGCCCCCTAACCCCACATCCCTATCTCCTTCGAGGAAGGGAGGGTGAACCCTTCTGCCATACCCAGGCTGAGGGAGTGGAGGGGCTGGGATTAGGGGTGGCTCACCTGCTGCAGATCGGAGAAGGGGACGGGCTCGCTGGCCAGCACTTGGTGGGGCTGGCTGGTGAGAGATGGCAGTGGTGGCAGCTTCTTCCAATGGGTCAGGCTGCTGCTGAGCACAGCCAAGCGGGTGCTGACCGAGATGGAGGGATGGGGTGGGCAGAAGTCAAATCAGTCTGTCCGGCCTAGGCCAGCCTCATTCCCCCCAGGCCAGAGAAGCAGGGTGACGAGGAGCCTCAGCCCATCACAAATTCACTGAACCCCCAACCCCCCCTCCCTGGGCTTCAGTGCCCTCAAGGGTACGACAGGGCAAACAAAGCTGACATGAACATCTACTGAGGCACCCAAGTGATTTGTGGTCAGTCTCCTGGACTGCACTCAAATGAGCATGGACTGGGTCCAGGCGCCAAAGCAGGATCAGGGGTGGGGGAGGGAAGGAGCCCTAGTAGCCTGAGGGACCCAAGTTGGCCAAGTGCTCACCTGTACTGCCTTGCCCGGTCCATGTACTCATGCTGTTCCATGCCCTGGGAGTCCGCAGCAGACACATCAATGATGTTGCTTTGTGGGAAGGAGACAGAACATGACAGGTGCTCCCAAGAGGGACAAACAGGATTCACTGCCAGCCAACTCCAGGGCTGTCTGACACCAATGTCCCTGCCTGTGCGCTAAAGCAGGGCTAGGCCCAGATGCACCGCTCCCCACTGACCTTGTCCCAGCTCCCATGTCCTGGGCCTGGCTCCCTCATTCCCAGCCTTGACTCTGGATGGAGGAGCTCTGCCCAGGCTTGGTCCTGTGAGGCTCACCTGGCTGTCTTGGCAAGGATGGAGGAGAGCAGGGCCTGCTCATCCGTGCGTGCAGAAGGCAGGCTGTGGTAGTTGGGCTCAGCTCCATTGAGCGCTTTGGTTGGGGGGCTGCTAGGGTCCAGCAGCAGCTTCCGCTCCTCTCGGTCCTAGGAAAGGGCATAAGGAAGAAGTCAGCCCCAGGACCCCTCAGTCCAACCTGTGTTTCCTGAGGCTCCTCTCTCAGTCCAGCTCCGATCTTTAGGCACCAATGATATTTTTATTAGGAAAATCCAAAATGCTCAACTTTATGGAATGTCAGATAAGACTCAGTTTCTGCCTGCCCTTGAAAACTCAACTAACTGGTGCTCTAGGATGAACTAAAGTAGAACCAAGAGGTCCTAGAGAGCCTGAAAGGATGGACAGAGGGGTTTGGCCTGGATGAAATGGCACAAGAGCCACCGACAGTTGTGAACAAAGCAGGATTCAGCAGCAGCGATGGAGCTCAGAAAACAGTCCAGCACCCAGTGGAGAGACGATATTGAAGACTCGGACAGAGAAGGTGGGAAATACCAAGATGACAGTGGGTCTATAGGGGAGACTGATCAAATCAGAAGCCCAAGGATGGCTCTCCTGATCCCCTAGGGCCCAGACCTCCCAGGAAGGCTGTCTGCGCCCAGGATGGTGAGGCCAGACAAGGCCCCAGGCCCTGGGGCAAGGCAAGCTCAACCTCTCAAATGCCTTTTCTCAAATGATCTCAGGACAGGAACCCGGGCCCCAGCGCCGAGTCACATGATCCAAGTGCACTCCTTTCTTGAGGGCAAGTCCCTTCTACTCTCAGGTATTCACCCTCCTCTTCTCTGACTGACTCCCAGAACCAAACTCTGTGCCTAGTATATCCTGACCTGAGCTGAGCAGTAGAGCAGTTCCCTCCCTTGCCAAGCCACCACCTCTGTTAATCTGGCCTGAGAGGCCTCCTTAATTTTCAGCACCCCTGTTACTGCTAGCCCACTCTGATAATCATAACCCTTGGACCTGAGCTAGGACCAAACCAAGTCATCCCAGTCTGGTATATTTCTACGTGTATTTTCCTTGTCCCGTTTCAGTCCCTTGTTCTAACCACTGCAATCTTCCTAGATACGACCCTGCCTTTAGCCATGAACTGCAAATCCCTGCAGGCTTTGTGTCAGCTATAAATTGGATAAGCAGGTCTGCTGGTTATCTATCTAAGTCATAAACAGTAAAGATCCCCAAGACAAAGCCAAGGATGGGAGGCGAGATCCATGCTTGCTAATGCTGACTCACTTGACCCTCAGTGCCAGACCACTGGAGTCCTCACTGCTCCATCCTAAGCCTATCTCAGTTCCCACCACAGACTTCCTGCTGCAGGCTCCCAGCCTAAATGCCCACAACTCTCTACTGAGGGCTACTTCCTCCTGCCCTGCCTGCCCCATGTCCTCAGGCAGTTTGATCCAGTTCCCAACAACACAAGACTGAAGCTGTGGGCTTCCTCTTCACCTCCAAACTCCCAAACATCCTCCCTCCTCCCAAGTACAGACGCTCAGAATTAAAGGGCTAGAAAAACAAAATGCTTGCCAAAGATTAAACTATCTCAAAGGAAAGCTGGCTCCTACTAAGACGTGAGTTTACTTCCTATGTGTCTGTCCTTCCTCCAACCCCCCTCAGACAAGTCTTCTTGCAGGACAGGATAGTTCCCCCCTATTAGGAGATCTCCAAGAACAAGACTGTTTTCCTGAGACCAAGACTCCCAGAAGAGGCCCTGCTACCCCCATCAGAGTGAACAAATAACATCACTCCATCCCCAAAGACAACTGGAACATGGAGGAAGCAAAGAACGTCATGGCTTATTCCTAAGTCCATGGAACCCAGGAGTCAGGGATTTACTCTCTACGCTAGCATAGACACACATGTGGTCTGCCCATGACTGGCCACCTGGTCTGTGGGCATGGCTAGAAAAGACACTTTGGCCCAACGGATAAAGCACGTAGCTTGGCATCACACAACACCTTGGTTATGCCACTTCTCAGCTTTGTAAACTTGGCTGAATCACTTAGCTTCTCTGAACCTTCTCCTCAGTGTAAAAAGAGAGAAGCTAGAATCAAATAGGATAACTATAGCAGCCCTCTGAAAACTATAATGTGTTGTACATTTCTTATTATTATAATAAAGAGACAGAAACAAGAGCGGGACAGAGACTTGCCCAAGAGCTGAAAAGACGGGCTTTTGGGCCAGAACCCCCACGCCCATGACAACAGAATAATGAATGGTTTTGACCTGTAGACCAGGTAGATAGGCCTTTGCCACATGGAGCCTCAAATCACCCAGCACTAATCAAGTGCCTTCTCTGGGGGTTAGAAACACAAGCGAGAGCCCATCAAGGGGAAGGTGGAGATTCAGGACAACAGCAAGCCTGGATTTCCCTTTCTTCTAAAAGTTGATATCCTGTTTCTCATAAGGTGTTAACTCTACTTGACCCATTCCTTGCAAGAGTTCACATTTTGCTTTAAGAAATAATGTTCCACTAGGCCACAGCTCTTCCAGTAGGCATGGATAATGTCTCCTCCTCTAACAGGCTGTGCTGAAGAGAAAGTTAGTGAGCATGATGCATACCTAACATAACACTGCCATCGAGTCAATTCTAACTCCTAGCGCCCCTATAGATCAAAGCAGAACTGCCTCATAGGATTTCCATGGAGTGGCTGATAGATTCAAACTGCCGACCTTCTGGTTACCAGCCGTAGCTCTTAACCACTGCACCACCAGGGTATGTGTTCAGTGGGTGTTTGGTGAATTAATGAAGACCAGGAGCCGCCCATGCCTCCCACACAAATGACACTTTCCTGAGCTTAATCACCTATCCAAAGAACAAGTTCACGTGAATCTTTTGAGGAAAGACTGACTTTCCCGATACTACTGACATAATCTATTTCTGTGTCCCTCACAAAACTGAGCCACTTGATAAAACCTTTCTGTTACCTCTTGTGCCCAGTATGTGTTAAACTGCAGAACCCAGGCTTAGAGGATTCTACTGGCCAGCAGCTTGAGACGTCATCCTTGGAAAGGTCTCTCTCCCTTCTCAAAGGTGGTCAGGCCAAGCAGGGCAAGGATTTAATGAGAGAACTGAGAACTCACTAAAGTGAAGATAATTTAAAACTGTACATGTCTCCCAGCCTAATCCTTTCTCCCAGAGTATCAGTCAAATCCACACCTAAATTCTCAGGATAGGCACCTCTCTAGCTAGAGGAACCCTCAGGCCTCACTCACTCAGGGACTGCAATGAGGCAGACCAAACTCAGTACCAAATGAGTTCCCACCCCTGCCTTGAGTCAACCCGATTTGTTGCTTCCCAAACAATTACCCACACATCCGGATGTCCTCTGTCTCTACCTAGTAAATCCTTCATTGGCCAGCTCAAATGCCACCCCCTTTCAGAGGCCTTCTCTGACCCCAAGGCCAGTCGTGACCTTCCTTCTCCGTACCCACGGACTGAGAGGATACACAAAATCCTGATTCATCTCGGAACGGGCTAACTCAGAGCCTCGGCTTACCTACCTCTACGATGGATTCAAAATGCTCGCTAATACAAGCACAGAGAAGGCTGGGAGTAAAGAAAGTGTGAAGGGAGGGGGAGATGGAGGGAGGGGAGCGAGAGCAACAGGGGGGCTGCCTGCACATCCCAAAGCAGGGACTGTGTAGAGAGATCTGGGCCTTTAACAGGGGTCAAGAGCCCGGCCCAGCGTCCCTTCACTAATCTGTCCCCTTCGGGCCTCCGTAGTCAGTAATCCCTGCAGCCCCACTCATCATATTCGGCAGGGTTGCTATTTTTTTTTTTTTTTTTGGCCCCAAGCCCTAGGGTCTCAGCCCTCATTCCCAAGCCCCGCCCGCCGCGGCCGCACCTGGTCCGAGTCCTCGTTCTCGCTGCTGTAGCAGCACCCCATGGCTGGGGTCGAGCCGGGCGCTCAAGGGGCGCCAAGGAGGGACGGCGAACGTCAGGCGCCTTTCCGGTCACATGACCCGTGGCTGCATCCCGCAGGCAAGCACCCAACTCCGCGTTGACTCCTCAGTCTTTTGGTCTCCGTCTCCGCCTCCGCCTACGCCAAGTTCCGCAGCCCCGCTTCCGGTCCCGCCTCCCAACGCGTGATCATCACCAACCAATGGAAAGGCGCGCCCTGCGTGACTAGAACCGAGACATGTGATGCGAGGAAAGGGGGGACGGGTCACATGACTTAACCTTCTTCTCGGTCGCAAATAGGCACTCCGGGCCAAAAGAGGTTCCCGTGCGACTCGTATTAATTGATCGTGTGAGGCCACCTTTCTGGACCAGAGAACGAGCTCTTATACCAAATACGGCGCTGATATGCTCTTCTAAATGCTGTGCGAGGGGCGAGCGCAGTCTGGGTGCACACACACAGGCCCCTGATGAACGGCGCCGAGTTGAGGGGCACATAAGCGGGTACGACGCCCAGCGGAGTTTCCAACCTGACCTGGGAATCTGAGACATAACTGGAAGAAGCGACCTTTTACCTTCCCCAGACAAAACGAAGTGAAGATCAATCCTGGTAGAGGAGATGGAGGCTTCCTCACTGATCCTGCCCTCAGGCGGTTCTCTTCAGCTCAGTCCTTTTACAGGAGCCCATAGTGTCTAACACAAAACTGACCATCAATGCTCTTTTCTTACAGCCCTCTCATGGCTTCCCTTGAGTCCTGAACACGAGGTCCAAGTCGCATTATACACCTGCCTCCCACTCCAGAGATGGGGGTGAGGGTAGGGCGTCTCTCACCAGCCATAGAGAAATACTTAAAACAGTTTCCAGATTGACCTCCTGGACTATGCACATGCGCCCTGGCACGCTGTCGCCCCACCAGGCCTATTTTCTGGCTTCAAGAGTCAGTACACACATGATATCGTCCTGATTGCCTTTTCTGACACCATTCTCTGGGCACCTCCAGCTTCTTGTGCTTTAACACTGAATCTCTATTCAGTGTTAAATCATTCATTTATTGAATCAACAAATACTTTCTACTATCAAGTGCCAGGCATTATTCTATCTGGATATGCAGCATTAACAAAACAGCCAAAAATCCCCATACTCATGGAGCATCCAATCTAGTGATCACACTATTATCTGTTTCTGGGTCAGTCTCTTTCACCAAACTGGTAGCTCCTGGAGGACGGGGCAGAAGCTAACTCCTCTGTGACCCATGCCCTGGCACTTGTTTAAAGAAAACTTGAAATTTGAATTGAGTAAATTAGTTTTCCCATCACCTTGGCTTACACTATCCCCCATGTCCTGAACCAAGGGGTTGGAAGAGAGGTCACCAGACCCCGCAGCTCTTAAAAAAAAAAAAAAAAAAAAAAAAACTCCTACCCGTTGTGGTCGAGTTGATTCCAACTCATAGCGACCCTACAGGACGTAGAAGAACTGCTCCATAGGGTTTCCAAGGAGCTGGTGGATTCGAACAGCAGCCAAGCTCTTAACCACTGCACCACCAGGGCTCCCCGTAGCTCTTATTACCCCTCAGATCAAGACCCTCCAGTTTTGTAAGTTCTTTAAGGGGTCCTGAAGGGTAGGAGGCAGCTCCAGCCTGTCACTGCAGCTAGTAACTTGAACTACAGGTCTCAGGTGACAGCAGCAGCCTCAGCATCAATAATTGAGAGCAGGTCCAGCCTCTTGTCTCATGGTTCTTCCCCATTCCAAGGACTCCCCCTCCTGTCCTCTGCTCTTTACCAAGCAGAAGCCTCCAGCCCAGGTAAGCAGGGCCCTTGAGTATGGGTTCCCAAACACACCATCTCAAGCTCACCACCACTCACCTATTCACACCCTTTCATACACTCTCTTTCATTCTTAGTCTCCATCACCATCAGGGTCCTTGCACCCATCCCTCATAAGGGGACGCTGAAGAGGAGGGCTGACTGGGGGAAAGGTGTGTGGTATGTGTATGTATGTGTATGTATGTGTACATGTTTGTGCAGGAAATCTTGAGAGAACAGGGAAAGGGGAATGCAGGGGAGAATAATTGCACAAATGACAGGCAAATGGTGGGTGTGGGTTTCCCTCCCTCCATTCCACCCCAGGGCCCAGGTGGGGACATGTCCCCTGCCATCGTGTTGGCCTTCCTGCCACTGGTGGTGACATTGTTAGTGCGGTACCGGCACCACTTCTGGCTGCTGGTGCGCACAGTCTTGCTGAGAAGCCTTCGAGACTGCCTGTCAGGGCTACGGATCGAGGAGCGGGCCTTCAGCTATGTGCTCACCCATGCCCTGCCTGGGGACCCTGGTCACATCATCACCACCCTGGACCACTGGAGCAGCCACTGTGAATACCTAGGCCACATGGGGCCTGTCAAAGGTTAGTGTTCCCTAGCCTTCTGCTCCACGAAGCTTCCCCAAGATGGTGAAAGAAAGAAGGTCTAGGATCTGCCTCTGCCTTATGTGTGAATTGGGCAGGTTCTTTTTACTCTCTGGGTCTCTTTTTTCTCATCATTCATTCATCCTGCCACCTCTTTTGTACTAGGTATGTGCTAGGTGCTGGGGGAGAAGCAGGTAGAAGCCAAAGGGATGAATAAGCCACAGAATGCTGGCCTCAAAGACAGACAGAATACAGGGGAATAACCATCACACCATCTATCCCATAGCTTTGTAATGACCTATGTCTCAGTCTTTCTCCCCCACCACCTCAAGGTGGCTGTCTGCCTGGATTAATATGAGTCCCAGCTCCCAGCACAAGTGCTTTAAGAGTCCTATTTAAGAAATTTTTCTAACTCCAAGATCAGAAAGATATTCGATGAACAATACAAGGGAGAATGAAACTAGAAGTTATAGGAAAGGTCTCTCAAGAGGCTGGAAGATGGAGTGGTTGTTTTTGCCTGGGCCCTCCTAGAGGAAGCAGCATTTGAATTGAGTCTGGAAGGAGTCTTTTGAGTTGGCCAGGCAGAAAGGGATGCGGGTAGGGAAGAGCAAAGCTACCCACATATACAAATGTGGTATGAAGGATTAAGCAAGCATAGTTGATTCTGGACATAGTTGTTTAGGATGGCTGAGGTAGAGGCTACAGGCGGGAATAGTCAAGACCTGAGGCTGGAAAGATAGGATAGGATCAGGTCTTAGGAGGCCCTGAATGCCACGCTGAGGATCTCAAGTTCAATTCCAAAGGCCTTGAGAATCATGGAAGCTAGAATGCGATATGGTAAGATTTGTTAGAAGGATTCCTAGTGGCTGGTGTGAAGACAAGACTGGAAGAGGCAAGCTTGGAGAGAGCAGGGGGGGCATGGGGCAGCTGGAGCTGTGGCCCAGGAGAAAGGTGACACCCCAGTTGGTTGGTGACTGCAGTGAGGCAGGTGGGCATTTGAGATCCCTTTCTGTCATGGGTCTGGCAAACACATGGTACTTCTGCAACAGCTTTCTCTCCCCTACAGGCCAGGTCCTGACGCGGCTGGTGGAAGAGAAGGCCCCTGTCTGTGTGCTGGAGCTGGGCACCTACTGCGGATACTCCACGTTACTTATTGCCCGTGCCCTACCTGCTGGTGGCCGCCTTCTCACTGTGGAGCGAGACCCACGCACAGCATTAGTGGCTGAAAAACTCATCCGCCTGGCTGGCTTCGATGAGAGCACGGTCAGCCCCCACCTCCCCAACCTTACTCTCTTCTCTGCCACCCCAAGCCTTGCCCTGGCCAGGCCTCCCCTATGCGGGGATCCCACCTAGGGAGGAGGAAGCAGCTGTATTTGGGGGCTCTGATCCTGGACTATGGATGAGCTCATGTCTTCTTGTCTCAAGTCACTTGCATTTGTTTTCTGCTGGGTGACAGAGAAGCAGTTAAGAGGATGGTTTCTGCAATCGGCAAACCTGGGTCCAAATCTTAGTTCTGCCTTGTTAGCTGTGTGGCTGAGGGCAAAGCATTTATCCTGTGAATCTCAGCTTCTTCACAGCAGAATGGGAATCACAATGCTGGCCCTGACTTTTGGGTCATGAGACCAGAGGAGATGTGAGAACACTCTAGTGTGAAGTAAGCCAGATCTTAGTGGGGTATGGGGTAGGGGAGCAGTCCCTCCTGCCTCACCTTCAACTCTCCCCACCCCCACAGGTGGAGCTTATTGTGGGTAGCTCAGAGGAGGTGATCCCATGCCTGCGAACCCAGCATGGCCTGAGCAGAGCAGAACTGGTGCTCCTGGCGCACCGGCCCCGGTATTACCTGCGGGACCTGCAGCTCCTGGAGGCCCATGCCCTGCTGCCAGCTGGTGCTACTGTGTTGGCTGACCATGTGCTCTTCCCTGGTGCACCCCGCTTCCTACAGTATGCCAAGAGCTGTGGCCACTACCGTTGCCGCCTCCATCACACTAGCCTTCCAGACTTCCCTGCCATCAAGGATGGCATAGCCCAGCTCACCTACGCTGGACCTGGCTGAGGTCCAGGCCCAGGGTTACTTACTGCTGTCCCCCCACCCCTGCCCAACCAAGACTTTAGAACATCCCCTCCCCTCCCTGTTTGTGGCCTGACACATGCTGAGCTTAGGGCCTCAGGCCCCAAGTTCTGTCAGGCTGCTTGGTCCCACTGGTCCCCTTTCTTCCAGAGACAGCCGTGACCTGAGAAGCAAGAGGCCTGAGCTCCCAAACCCAGCTATGTCACCAATTTACTGGTGACTCTAGAAGAGCCCCTGCCTGCCTCTGAGATTTAATCCTCTCTCCTAACACTAAAGGAGGTGACTGGGAGAGCTTTCTGGGCCTCCTAGCTTTGACCCTCAGAAAGCCACCCCTCCCAGCCCACGCCATTCTGGGTGGGAACAGAAGAGACAGCAGACACTGGGTGAGAGGCCCTGCAAGGGGGGCTGGGTACAAGCTAGCCAGAGGAAATGGTATAGGAGGCTTCCCCAGCCCCAGCCCACCTGGCCAATTAGGTCTTGCCTGGAGTCCCTTCAGTGCCCTCTCCTCAAAGCCCAAGAGAAGACACTAGACTCTTCTGGGCCTCACCAAGAGATAGAGAATAGACAAAGGGAAAAATAATCAATCAGTCCTGTGTCTTTATTAAAGGGAGTGGGAAATAAACCTGACCTGGCAGCCAAGGGAAGAGGTACTGGCCAGGACGGTGAGGTGGGCTCAGGCCCTGGGGATTCAATGGCAGCCTGATGGCCTAGGAGAGGCCAAGGAGACCAGGTCCTGGAAGCAGCTGCAGAGGTATCCGAGATTAAGGTTTCAGGAACTGTCAGCTGGTTCTGCAGGGGGTGCAGGGTGGGGTGGGCTGGCCTGGGATCTCCCTGAGGACATTCCTGCCCTGTCTACCTAGATCATCCACTGGTCCTGATCCTGCTCGTTGCCTTCCATGTCCACCTGAGGAGGAGGCTGGTGTGGGTGGGAAGGGGCCTCAGCCACCCAGCCAACCCAGGCCCAAGGGCCTCATCCACTCTGCCCCCAGCTGGATCTAGGATTTCTGTATCCTTTGACCACCAATTAGGTCAAGGGAAGGGGCCCAGGAGCAGAGGCCTTCCCTCCACACCCCTATCTACCTCATTGACCTCTCCATCATCAGGTGACTCGTTGTAGTCGTTCATCTCATCCATGTCCTGCATGTCCTCATCATCTTCTGAGTCCTCCTCACTATCTTCATCATCTTCATCATCTTCCTCCTCCTCATCATCATAGTGCTGGTGGGGCAGGGGAGAGCCTGTGGGCACTATAGGCCTGCCCAGACCAGTTCAAGGGCTGGCCCACTTACAGCCTCTTTCTGGGGTCAGTGACTGACCTCCCAACTCCCCAGTGCTGCCCACCTCAGGTCTAGCAGGCTGGTACATGTTCTGCAGGACCTTAGTGCTGGGGACAAGAGACCAGCCCTCCACTGGCCTCAATGCCCACCTTCTGTAATTCCTCTTTTTGGCCTTCACCCAGAATGCTCTGGGACCAGAGGCAGGACCTTCAAAATTAGAGCAGAGCCTTGGCCCACCCTGGGCCCCGCACCAGCCCCACCTGCTGGAGCCACTCACTTCTGAGGCCGGCTTGCCAATAGGCACCAGGTTGTTGTCTTTTTCTGCGATGCTCTGGAGCTATAGCCAAAGGGAGAGGGGAGCAAGGCCACAATCCAATCAGGGCAGATCAGGAGCACGGGACTGGCCCATTCTGCCCTCAAGAAGACCCCGAAGTGTGGTGAGGGAGAACTTCCTTCCAATTCACAGGAAGACCTAATCCCCTTCTTTCCTTCTGCCCTTCTTTCTATCTGCCAGTTACTTATGAACTTGATCCAACTACTTAAACTCTCTGGGCCTTCATTTCCTCACAGGATCACGGTGAAGGTGAAGTGAGAGGATATCAGCCTAGAACATGGCATCGCTAGGTCCTCAATAAGTAATCAAAATTATTATTTTCTGTGCTTTAGGAAAGTGAGCCTGGACTAAGTGTCAGATGCCCGGGGTTCCAATCTGGCCCAGAGGTCCCATGGTACCCTAGCAACTAAGGGCAGGGCAAAGATGAGAACCTGGGCCCCTGGGGCTCCCAGCTCCAGATTCTTCCCAGCTCAGGACAAAAAGCTACTCCAGGGGAGGTCTCCAGAACAAGGTGAGGTCATGGTCCAGTGAGGGGAGGGTCCCTGACTGAGGTTCCCACTACTGTGTCCCTACCAGGCTAAATCCTGACTCACCCAGGCCTGATGCTGCTGTTCCTGCTGTTGCAGTTCTGTCTCCTCCACACACGGTCGATCCAGATTAAACCAGAGTGTCTCCGTCACACGCGGGAAGAGTGAGGGGAACAAAGTGGACATGGCTCCTAGACTGAGGGAAAGGATCAGGTGAATCCAACTCTCAGATGTGGGTTTTTTTGTTTCTTTTTGATGGTTATTTGATATGGAAATGGGGTATAGTGGAGGGTAGCAGGGGAAGCAGCCCTTCCCTCTGGGAATCAGACAGACCTGGGTTTGAGTCCTGGCTCCACCACTTATTAGCTGTTTGACCTTGGCCAAGTCATTTAACCTCTCTGAGCCTCAGTTTACTTGCCTGTAAAATGGGGAAAATAGTAATTATACCACCCTTCTAGTTATTCTGATAATTAAATAAAATAATGGATTTTAAAAGCTCTTTGTAAGCTGTTTAAAGAGGAAAGAGAATGGGAGGAAAGTGTAGAGATAAGAATTCAGAATGCAGATTGGAATTACAATATTATAACGGGTCTCTACTGCCTCCTCAAAATACTAAAAACCTTCTTTCTGCTTGTCTATGATGGTCCATACCACACCCACCTAGTGTCAGAAATTTGGCACTAAATCACCTCTCTCATGAACCACAGCCAAATGGCGGGAGTACCATGTGCAAGCAGGGGTTCAATTAGACATTTCAGAAGGCATGAGTAAATAAGTGGATACACAGATAAATAAATTGATGGGAAACTGAATGGATGAACTAACTTGTAACAAAAAATCAAGTAAATTAAGCTCTGACTGAGTAGCTGAAGGAGACGACCAGGAAGGTCTCAGAGAGTCTGAATTTAAATCTTTCAGCTCACAGATGGGAAAACTGAGGCCCAGAGAGAGGCAGCGATTGGTTGTAGGCCATACAATGAGTCCGAGCTCAGAACTCCCGAGGAAAAAGAATCCAGGCTGGGCACCAGGGGAGACAAGCAGGAGAGAAGAATCTATGTCTAGTCCTGCTTTTGCTCTGATTCATTGACGGATCCGGCGACAACCGCTACCCTTCTCGGAACCTCAGTTTCCAGTCCGCGGAACGGGCATGACGTCATTTGCCCTCACCTCTCAGAACCACTGAGAGGACAGAGACCATGACTCTAAAAGCCCAACCCACCGCCCATTCTTCCAGAGAGTTGTTTGCTCATTATGATAATGACCGTGGGGTTGACCAACAAGGAAAGGGCGGGGGCGGGACTCGGACAGGAATTTGCCCTAATAGGGTTGCTAATCGCGAAAGAAGCCGTGTCTGGGAAGGGCCAATTGACTAGAAGAACTGTCGGGTGACAGGAAGTGACACCAATGAATGACGGATCTTGTATGGCAGGGTGCGGCTTAGTCTCGGGGAGGCGGCCAACGAGCTGGAGATCTATAAACGGAAAAGGGAACGTGGAGCTCCTGAGGAGACAGGTCAAGAGAACTGGGTTTCTCTGGGGAAGGGAGGAAGGAAGGGGCAAGGAAACAACAGCCACAGCCTGCTGCTGTACTTACCGCGCCCACAGGCGGCAGCCGGCAGCGACCCGGAAGCACTTCTACCTGTCTGAGCGGAAGAACCCGCCAAAATACCGGGACACACCAAACGCATGCGTCCTTGGCCTTCTCTAGTTTCCCGCTCCAGCCCCACCTAACCGGATGTGACGTTGACATACCTTAGTCACTTTAGGGGAGGAAATTTGCCACGCCTGCTCCAGGGACCCAGCCTTCAATCTCAGCCAATCGACCTCTTCATCCTGGCCCCGCCCCAACGGGCCGTTTAACTCCGCCCCTTTTGTCACCCAGGGAGTGCTGTATTTGCTCGCCAACCCCTGCTGAGAAATAGCTGCGGGCGCTACCTGCATTAGCAGCGGGAAAATTAGTCTGCTTCTATCCCAGAGAATCACTGGGTTATTTTGAGCCTCTCCTGCCCTCTCTCCGCCTCAGTTTCCCGTTTGAGCACATTCATCCATTCATTTATGCCTTCAACAAAAGTATTTGCGTCCCTACTATATTCCAGGCCCTGCTAGAAGCTGGGGATAAATTTACAAACGTACTCTCAGCCCTCAAGATCTTAGAGTCCAGTGGGAAGCTAGACCATGCATTCCCGCAGTGGACTAATTAGTCTCTTAAAATTGCATATTCAGTCTGACATTGGAGATTCTGTCCAGGCTTGAGTGACTAGTCAACCTTAGCCACAACTCTCAGCTGCTGGCGAACTTAACTGCCCTCCCCTTAGTGGTGCTTTGCTGACACCTCTGTGCTAGTAATCTCTGACTCAATCTCTTCAGACATCCTCAAGCCTTCTGGCAAGAGAGTTTCTAAGAACCCAACTCCTATTTACCCACCAGCCCCTTCCAGGACCAGCAGTCATCCACAGTTCCATTCCTGCACTAATCAGATGTGTGGCCGTTGGCAAGTAAGTCCTTTTTCCCTGTCTGGTCTCATCATAACCTCAGCCCAACCTGCTTCCTATCCTGGGCTCATATTATCTGAGGAGATAACAGGTGTTTAAACAGTTGTGTATTGTGCACATCAACTATGATTATGTTGCCCAGCAGTTCTGGTTGTTATACTGTTTTTCATTAAAGAGTAAAATTTGCCTCATCCACCCTTTTCATTCATTCATTCACTCACTCATTCATTCAACAAATATCTATTGAGAGTACCTTACTATATGCCAGTCAGTATTCTAAATAGTGGGCATGCAGTAGTGATCAAAACAGACCAAAAAAAAATCCCTTACCTCATGGGGCTTCCATTTGAATGAGAGAGAATAAACAATAAAGAAATAAATAAAATATATAATTTTTAGGTTGTGATAAATACTGAGCAGAAAAAAACAAATCAGAGAAATGGGGACAACATGTAGGCAGGAAGGGGTATTTTATCTTAGGTAGGGGGCCAAGGAAGACCTCACTGAGAAAGTGACTTTTGAATAAAGATCTGAAGGGAGAAAGGGAGAGAGAGAGCTATGCTGACAACTGGAAGAGAGCATTCTGGGGAAAGAGAACAGCACGTGAAAAGGGCCTAGAGTGGCTGGAGCACAGTGTCCTATGGGGAGAGTAGTAGATGAGGACAGAGGGGTAGCAGGTGTCAGATAGGTGCAGCCTTGCAGGTCATAATAAGGACTTTGACTTTGACTCTCTTTTGGGGAGCCAGTGAAGGTTTGTTTGCAGAGGATCCATACAATCTGATTTATTTACATTTTTAAAATAATATTTTATTGTGTTTTCAGTGAAGGTGTACACAGTAGTTTCAGTTCCCATTCAACAGTTTCTACACAAGTAGCTTAGTAACATTGGTTACATTCTTCACAATGTGTGAACATTCTCATTGTTTACGTTCTGGTTGTTTTGTTTCCATTAATCTAGTTCTGACTTATATTTATTAGGGTCACTCTGGCTATTCTAATGAATAATAGACTTCAGGAGGACAAGGGCAAAAGAAACAGGGAGACCAGTTGGGAGCCTATTGTAATAATCCAGACGTGGCAGATAGTAGTGGTTGATTCTGGAATATATTTAGAAGGTAGAGATAGCAAGAGTTGCTGGCAGATTGGATGTACAGTATCAAAGAGCAGAGCCAAGCATTTTGGCCTGAACAACTTGGAAGAAGTCGCCGTTTTTTGAGATGGGAAAGACTAGGAGATGCTGATTTGAGGGGAAAGATCTGGAGTTCAGTTTTGGGTTTGAGGTGTTGAGTTTAAGATGCCTATTAGAGTAGAGATGTCAAGGAGGGTTTCACATCAGGGAAGAGATCTGGGCCAGATACATCAAATTAGGAGTCATCAACATGTAGATGGTATTTAACATCATGAGGCTGGATGAAATCACCAAAGGAGTGACTATAGATGGAAAATAGTTTCCTCCAGTATTCAGAATTTGAGGAAACCAGAAGCAGCACAGCAAACAAAACTGAGGAAGGTCAGAAAGGTAGGTAGAAAGCCAGGTAAATTGAGTGGTGTCCTGGAAGCCAAGTAAACAAAGGGTATCAGGAAGGAGGTAGGGATCCACTACAACCTAGTTCTGAGCAAAATTGGGTTTCTGTTTTTTTCCCCAGCAGACGATGAGAACCTTGAGGGCCAGGGCTGAATGGTCTGTATGTCCCCAGAGTCAGCCTGATGTCTTCCATTTCCTGGGTCCCTCTTGTGCACCTCCTGTGTCTCCCATCAGTCTCTCCTGTTTTTCTTCCTTACAGATTTCTACCTCAGGCACCCTTTGCCTCCTGTCCTTCCTAGCGCTAGCCAGAGGGAAATTCCCCCAATGACCTGTAGTTTCTTTCCAAGGTCCTCAGCCAGGTTCAACAAGTCATGATGACTGGTTAGTTGAAAGGAGGAGGGAAGGGAAAGAGAAACGGAAATTTTGGGCAACTCCCTATTTTTTGACTCAGGCAACTGAGTCGAAGATGCCATTTACTTTACATGCATTATACCTCAGTTATCCTTGCCAAGTTTTATGACTCCCTTTCATTTCAAGGATAAGAAACTAAGATTGAGTAATTAAGAAATTTACCTCATTCATTCATGAATAAATGAAATTTACTCATTCATTTGTTCCACTGTTAGGTCAACTTTTATTGAGTGCCAACTGAATATCAGACACTTTGGTAAGCCCTGGGGATAGAGAAATGAATCAGAAATAATCCCTGCCCTAGAGAAAAATAGTCTAGTGAGGACCAAGACAATTATAGAAAAGGATAGTAAATGTTAAATCTGTATATATGGTGTTATGAGAGCACAGAGGATGGAGGAATGAATGCGTTCTGAATAAACTAAGAATTTCTTCCAGAGAAGGAAACATTTAAGTGGGCTTTGAGGGATGCGTAGGAGTTCACCTAGTAGGGAAGTGGGAGAAGGAGATTATCTTAGTATCCTAGTGCTGCTGTAACAGAAATACCATGAAAAGGAGAAGCAGCAGACCAAACTCACACTCTGTTAAAACTGAAACTAAAGAGTTTTATTGAGGACTGGAGAGATTTGTGAATCGGGATACCCTGCAGCTCCCAAGCAGAGTACAAAGGTGCTCCAAAATACAGGAGAGAAGTGAGTTTTTTATAGGGTGGAGTAAACAAAGGCTTATGTGCTCCCAGGCACGAGAAGGGTGCATGACAAAAAAAATCACAAGAGGGTCATAAACCACAATATTTCTTAACATTAGTAATTCTGTTAGTTAGCATCTTGGAACATCCTAAACAAAGTATTGTTCCGTGACCATTTGTGTCAAGCATTCTGTAATAACTGCATATCTGGTCCCTTCCTCTTATCTTAAAATAACAAGCTATGCTTACAGATTTACAAAGAGTCATGGAAAAGCAGAAGTAGAGCAAAGGTCTTAGTGAATGAGTCAAAATGGAGTCTAATTTAGGTCGGGCCAGCCATTCCGGTTATGCCAGGTGCCTCAGGTTTGGGGTCTGCATATATTTCCTCCTTTTGAGCAAGCCACCACTAGGGGGTGCAGATCACCCACAAAGGAGTTACCCATCTTCTGCAGACTTTATATCTTGGGGATGGCTGCTCTGTTGAGCTTTTAGGACCCTAGACTCCAGCTCTGTTATTAGAGGTGGCCGGGCACCATCCTGTGTTACCTTTCTACAGATTCAGGTCTCATCTTCAGGGTGAGTTGGTCTTTGGCCGGGGTAAGTATTGCAAACAAGGCCACATTAAAGGAACAACTAGGTATTTCTAAAAGGGTGTGATCCCAGAACTAAAATTCGTTCTCCTTTGAAAAATTAGTTTCTTCCAAATACGTAATTTGTTACATAACTGAATATTTCTTTATTTCTTTTTTTAATGTGCTTTAGGTGAAAGTTTACAGCTTAAGTTAATTTCTCATACAAAAATTTATATATATATATTGTTACGTGACACTAGTTGCAACCCCTATAATGTGACAGCACACTCCCCCTTTCCACCTTGGGTTTCCCGTGTCCATTCAACCAGCTCTTCTACCTTCCTACCTTCTCATCCTGCTGCCCTTTTGGTCTCATGTATCTGCTTGAATTAAGAAGCATGCTCTTCATCAGTATTATTTTATACTTTATAGTCCAGTCTAATCTTTATCTAAAGAGTGGGCTTCAGGAATGGTTTTAGTTCTGGGTTAACATAGCATCTGGGGGCCATGGCTTTGGGGGTTCTTTCAGTCTCAGTCATAT